CCTGGTCAGAGTGGAAGGGGAAGGTGGCTGAGTCCCCTCCCCCAGGGGACACATGCTATTCTCTGAGAACTGAACCAGGGTTGCTATCTTGGGTAAACGTTTTCAAAACTCTAGGAGGCCTTGGAGTCTACCCTCTCATCATAAGCATGGCCATCTCTGAGCAGAGAGAGACCACTTCAGCTCTGAGGGAGGATGGTTGCCCCATGACCAAGCAGCACCTTTTTAAAGTTCCTGCTTAGGGGCGCCTGGGTGGCTCAGTTGGTTGGGCGGCCGACTTCAGCTCAGGTCATGATCTCGCGGTCTGTGAGTTCGAGCCCCGCGTCGGGCTCTGTGCTGACAGCTCGGAGCCTGGAGCCTGTTTCAGATTCTGTGTCTCCCTCTCTCTGACCCTCCCCCATTCATGCTCTGTCTCTCTCTGTCTCGAAAATAAATAAACGTTAAAAAAAATTAAAAAAAAAATAAAGTTCCTGCTTAAAGGAAGGAAGGGAGGGAGGGAGGGAAAGAAAGAGAGAGGTGGGAAAGAGAGAAAAAAAGAAAGAAAGAAAGAAAAGAAAGAAAGGAAGAAAGAAAGAAAGGAAGAAAGAAAGAAAAAGAAAGAAAGAAAGAAAGAAAGAAAGAAAGAAAGAAAGAAAGAAAGAAAGAAAAGAAAGAAAGAAAGAAAGAAAGAGAACACTTGGGGATTTGGGGGTGGGGGGTGAGGTTTGAAGCAGTTGTTAATAGCAGCTGTCACCAAGTAAGCACCTACCATGTGCCACCCATCATATTCTGCTTTATACACATGATCTGACTTAACCATCACAAAGCCCTATAATAATAGGGCTTTATTATTACTATTATTATTCCCATCTTGCAGATGAACAAACTGTAGGTCAGAGAAGTTGAATAACAAGTCCTAAGTTAGAAAGCTAAAAAATAGCATGTTCAAAATTTGAACCCTTGAATGTCTGGCTCCCAAGGGTATACTCATTTCACTAGCTGCTCTGCTGTCCTACCTGGTCCTTTTTTCCAGCCTGTGAGGCAGACCCTTATCACCGTCCCCCTGCAGGACAGGTGGAGCCCTGAGCCTCGGTAAAGCTGATGATGTTACTGTCTGTGGAAGCAGAGATAGGGCAGCCATTGTCTCACCCATTTGTTAAGGGCAGTGTTGAGCTTAAGAACACAGGCCCAGGAAAAAAGGAAGGAATTCAAATTGAGGCCTAGATTCTCACTAGCTGGGTGACCTTGGACTGTTACCTGTTTTAGCTTTAGCCCCTTAGAGGATGGAGGAATATCTAGTCTGAGGGCAATTATGAGGCTCATGCAAGAAAATGTGTGTGAGGTGTTGAGCACAGAAGTATCCTTACCAAAAGTGCCTCTGCCTCTGCCTCAGAGGTTCAGATTTTGTTCAGATGCTCGGTATGTTACCCCAGTGAATCATACAGACCGGTGCTTCTGAACCTGGCTGATGTCAGGATTACCGACAAAAGTATAAATACCTGGGCCCCACCCCAGGAGGTTTTTGAATTAGGAGGACTGGGAGGAGCTTGGACCTTTTTATCTTTAATACATTCCCAGGTAATGCTGCTGCACAGCCAGGTTTGCAGGAACCAATCTACTAACATAGACATCTCAGCCACACTGGACAAGGGTTTCAGGCTGGTTCCCGCTCCAAGTCCCTTTCTCCCCTTTCTTCTCACCGCCAGTACACCTTGCTCCCACCTCCTCCCCCTCGGTTTGTGAGTCCTCTCCCCAAATCAAGGTCTGTATGGCTTAGCAGTGAGTCAGTGTCCCATGGAGCCTGTCTTTCCAGAGACCAGGGAACCTAGCACGGGGCTGGAGATTAGGATGCCAGGATTTCTGCTTTGGATTTGCCTCCTTGTGACTCACTGGTGGCCCAGAGCCAGTCTCCAAGCCTCAGTTTGTTCATGTTCCATAGACACTTGGGGAAATGGAGTGGCCTGTTTGGACTCTGCTTCCTTAGGAGTTTATCCACGGCACTTGACAGCTGGAGAGCAAGTGAAGGAGGAGGACATGAAAAATCCTGCATAGTTGTGCTTTCCCATCAACATCTATTTGATGCTCACAGGGATAGAGAATAAAACCCAGCATCTACCTCAGCCTGTTATGTCTTCTGTTATCTGTCCCTAGCCTTTGCTTCAGTGTCACCTCATATCCATCCTTCCTTTCTGGCCTTCTTGCTGTTCCCTGAATGCTCCAATTTGTTCCCACTTTAGTTTTTGCACGATTTGCATGACTTGGAATGCTTTTGCAATGGATGACCACAAGTCTGTTTCCTTCTTTTTACTCGGGCCTCAGCCTACATGTCACCTGCTCAGAGAGGACTTTGCTGATCAGTCACCAAATCTCAAGTGTCATCTCAGGCACTGGGACACATCATCCTACAGGATATCATTGTATTTTAACTTTCCTTATAACATTTGTAACTGTATCTGCTTTTCCTTTTTTATTTACTTAATACGTTGCCTGTCTCCCTTTCTGTAGAACATAAGCTCCCTGAGAACATATTCTTAGTCGTCTTGTTTACTGCTGTGTCCCTAGTGCCTGAAAAGCATTCAGTGTATGTTTGTGGAATAAAGATGACAATGAGGCTGCCCCAGCGTGAATCGTGATTCTTTTTTTTTTTTGGTCAGAGGACACTCAAGGTTCTCAGAGGGGAAGTGACTGTCCCAAAATTATTCCAGGCCTTTTGTCTTCTTTTTCCATGCCCTTCCCGTAAGACCTGCCTGACACGCAAACCAAGGTGGGGTAAGTCTCCTAGGTGTGATGAAAGCTTGGAGTTGCCCCATGAATGGGGCTAAGGCTGATGTGGAGGTGAGAAGGCGGAAGGACAGAGCATGCAAAGGGAGAGGCAGGCTGGGACAGGAGAGCGGGGTGTGAACCTGGCAGCAGGGGGGGGGGGGAAGGGGGTGACTTGGCTGTGTGTCAGGAAGTGTTTCCCTCCGCCCTCCCCTGGGGAGAGCCCTGACCCTAACGTGGCTTGGTTTGGGGGAAGGAGGTGGTCAGGCAGCTGCTGAGAACTAAGGTGTGGCCTGGGTGGTGATCATCCAGAGAGGTACTAATGATCACCCAGAAGAATAATCCCAAAGTGGCACTTGGCCAAATAGGTGATAGGTGAGCTTCCGCCTGATACCAGCCCAACATATAGCCTCAGACCTGGGGAGAAGGGAGAGAAAAGAGACTTCTAAGGGAATGGAGTAGTCAGGATAGAATGCCTAGTGATAATAAGATAACAGGTCACATTTACTGAGGGCTTATAATAAGACTGGCAGTGTACTTACTGCTTTATATATGTTTCTTTGTAAAGTCTTTATTTTTTTAAGTTTATTTATTTGCTTTTGAGAGAGAGAGAGAGAGAGAGAGAGAGAGAGAGCAAGCATGAGCAGGGGAGGAGCCGAGAGAGGGGGAGACAGAGAATCCCAAGCAGGCTCCTTGATTTCAGCACAGAGCCTGATTCGAGGCTCGAACTCACAAACCATGAGATCATGACCTGAGCGAAAACCCAGAGTTGGATGCTTAACCAACTGGAACACCCAGGTGTCCCTCTTCATTCAATCTTTAAAAAGTTCTCTATAAAATACACATTATTATCATTCCCATTTGAGAGATTTGGAAATTGAGGCACAGTGAGATTAAATATCTTGTTCACACTCACTCAATAAGTGGCAAGGTCAATATTCCAACTTAGATCTGTAGTGATTCCAGATAGTGATTTCCATAGTGTTTCCTATGGAAACCTAAGCCTGGGAGTGGTTGCTAGGGGCAAGTCAAGAGGGCAGATCCCCTGCAAAAGTGGAGACGGAGAGAGACAGTGGGATAGCCTGTGTATAAATAGGAGGCCTGTTTTTATCCCTACACATGGGCTGAATCAGGCAAGCAGCTCTATCTGGCACAAACTGAGGGCTCTGAATGCCAACCCAGCCCTATGTCATACAACTCCCTCCCCAGTACGTCCCTGGGAGCTGAAATATCTACTGGGAGAGTAATTTCTTTGGGTCAGGACACTGACTGCCGAAGACCCCTGTAAAAACACATAGGTTGGAAGAGAAACGCATCAATCTCCTGGCACCTGTTGAAAATAGCAACTTAGGCTAACCAGCTGGGTCCTGTGGAAGAAGGTCTCAGTTTTTACGTTGGAGAAGAAGGTGCTGTTCCAAGTCAAAAAAAAAAAAAAAAAAAAAAAAAAAAAAAAAAAAGTATGAGGCTTGCTGCACAACCGTTGTCTTTCCAATCCCAGAAGCCTGGGAACTATAATCCATAGTTCAAAAATCTTAATGAAGACTTTATCCCCCTGCGAGAAACATGGAGGGAAGCCACTCTAGCTGCTGGAGGAATACTAACTTCCTTTGTTTTTGCTGCAACTGCAACTCTGATTACTTGTAGCTCATGAGACCTGCTGCCATTCGTGTGTCTAATTTTTTTCATGCGTCTAATTTTTAAACGATAAAATAAATTATCATTTACTATTTGCTGTATTGCTAGGCAAAAAAGGAAGTGTCTTCTTTCAGAAGGTGACATGGGTGCAGATGCCTGGTTTGGAGCAGGGATGGCTGGAGGGACCAGCCTGGAACCAGCGCAGAAAGAGAGGTGTCCAAGGGCAGAGCGTAGCAGTCACAAGGCTGCAGCGCGACAAGCGTCTGGGGAAAGGTAGGAACTAGTCCCCGCCACCTGCCGGTCAGTAGCACTACCCACAGCCTGGCGACGGCTGCCCTGGCCTTGTCCCAAAATATGTGAGCGCCGCCCCCTACTCCCGCCCCTTCCCCCGCCGCGCCCGCTGAGTGGGGGGCTGCGGGGGTTGCGCGGCCGGCGCCGGGAGCCGGGCGAGCGGCCCAGCGCGGGAGGGGGGGAGAGGGCGGGGCGGAGCTTCGGCGCCTCCCAGAGCCTTATTCCCAGCCGCGCGCCGGGAATCGTTCAGTCGACCGAGGGACCTGCGGGTGGCGCGTGGCTGGCCAACCTAACCGAGACGCAAGGGCTTGGGCGGGCGGACTGACTGAGCAATCAGACAGACGCCCGGCGGCCGCTAGCTCCACGCAGGTCCCAGCCAGGCTTGCACCCAGAGGCCCGCAGCAGACCGTACCGGGCGCAATCTCCTGCGCTCCGCCCGCCCGGGCTCCCGTGCCAGCGCCCCGTGGCCGCCGCCTCCAAAGTGATTGCTGCCTCGCCGCCTCCGCCGGGTCCAGGACCATGAAGCTGCTGCCGTCGGTGGTACTGAAGGTCTTTCTGGCTGCAGGTGAGAGGGCTGCCAACGCCCCCGGAGGTCGGGGGGTTGGGGACACTGTGCTGGGGGCACGGGGGAAGGTCGCTGCGGCGACCCCAGCGCAGGCCACTTGGTGGGGCCCGTGCTCCCTGGCGGACGGGCGCCAGCATTGGTGCGTGGTGACCGCGGGGTCTAATGCGGCCTTGCCCCTCACCCGCAGTGCTCTCGGCATTGGTAACTGGCGAGAGCCTGGAGCGGCTTCGAAGAGGACTGGCAGCTGGAACCAGCAACCTGGACTCTCCCACTGAATCAACAGACCAGCTGCTGCCCTCGGGAGGCAGCCGGGGCAGGGAAGTCCTGGACTTGGAAGAGACAGACCTGGACCTTTTCAGAGGTGGGTGTGAGGGCTCCCCATCCTCGGACCCCAGTGGGCAATTGAAAAATAAGTGGATACAGGATTCATGCTGTTTGGGCACACTTGTGGGTGGAGGTATTCATGGAGGACTTCAAGGAAAAGCTGCGGGGCCTGACAAGCATACTGGGGGATTCTGAAATGTGGGTCCCAAGGTCTTTCTTGCTGTTGAATTTCACATGCCGAGTTGCTGCCCTTCTGGGCACATTGAGAAGGCAGGGGTCTGGGGTCTTGTACATTCCTCTGGGGTAAGCTGGAGTAAGGGACAAGTCATGATTGAGATGCTTTCCCTAGAGTTTCTATACAAAAATGGGTGCAAGTCTTGATTCCTATATCCAATGACTATAATGTGTAAAATGACAGAGGTGGAGGTCCTAGGAATATAGTAGGTGTGTAGTCTTCTCCATCTACCTGTCTCCAGGTTGGAGAAACAGAGGGGAATGAGGAACACTTGGCCCCCCAGGTGAGGCCAGCACCTGCTGGGGAGGCTATGAATGGTGGGCACTAAGTCCTTAGGGAGATATACAGAAATGCTATGTGTCCACAAATCCTACACAAAGCCTGGAGACCTCCTGACCATCCTGAGTCCTTGAGAGAGACTCCAAGGGAGGAAGGGCCAGGTGGGATCCTCCAACCAGCAGATGTGGCTGTGGTTGAGTACTGGCACAGGGCAGAGTCCAGAGTCTCCAGCATTGCCCACTGCCCTGCCCCAGGCCACCTGCAGTGATTCTTGAGGGTGGAGCAGGGATCGAGCCTTGGGGCCCCAGAGTTACTGTATTTGTTTGGAAAGATACCCACCTGTTCTAGCCCGGCTGCTAGGCCGGCTCCTCAGCCACCGTTCCCTCTCCTTACCCAGAACTTCCCTCAGGTGCTGTCTCTGCTTGTATAAATCAAGGGTCAGCTCTAAAGCTGAGCCTGGGCTGCCACCCTTCGTCTCCTCATAGTAGCCTTCTTGGGCCACCCTGGCCGGAACAACCTGGATTCTCCTAGCCCTCTCCTCCTAGTCAGGGCAGAGCTGGGCTGTGACTCACCCTCCACCCACACGCCTGCTCCTCATACCTCTGCAAACCTGACTCACTGCTCCCTGTCCCTGGCAAAAGCCTGGCTGTCACCCTGTCACTCTCTTCCTCCCCTCTCTGATTGACTTGGCCCTCCTGCCACAATTTCACCACGGCTCTGGTCACTCGATTCCTCTGAGCATCTGCCTCACCTTCTGAGCTCTGAAGGTGCTTGGGTCTGCACCAGAGGAAACTGAGGACTACTGCACCTGCCTGCTTTCCCTTCTCTTGGCTTTGCTAGGTGAGGTCTGAGGATCCTATCATCTAAAATGAATAGCCATTACCATTTATTAAGTACCTACTGTGTTCTAGGCACTCATTATGCTATTGTGGGTTAATTAATCCTGTAGCAACCCTCTCAGATTGAACTCCTGCTATCCACTACTCACTAAGAACCCCAAGGTTCAGAGAGAGTAAGCCATTTGCCCAAGATCGCAGGAATGAAATTAGAGCACAGATCTGCTGACTTCAGAGCCCATTCATTGTTTCATTCCTGGTTCAACATCCCAGGTGCTCTAGACTTGTCCAGGGGAAGGGACAAGGGTGTATGAGGCACCTTGGTATATTGGGAAAGAATACAGGACATGGATGGAGTCCAGAGACCACATTTCTGATCTCAACCCTGCATGACTTTTACCAAGTCATGCCTTTGGGGACCTCAGGTTTTTTATCCGAAAGTGGAAAGCCATGGTATCCTTTCTTTTTTGTATATATTAATTTTTTTTTTAACATGTATTTCTTTTCAAGAGAGAGAGAAAGTGCAAGTGGGGGAGGAGCATAGAGAGGGAGACAGAGGATCCAATGCAAGCTGTGCGCTATGAGCACAGAGCCCAACGTAGGGCTCAGACTCACAAACCGTGAGATCATAACCTGGGCCTAAATCAAGAGTCAGCTGCTCATCTGACTGAGCCACCCAGGTGCCCCCATGATATTCTTTCAAGTCACTTCCAGCTTGAGGATCCTGAGTCTCTAATCTAATATGTGATGTTCACCCTTCTGCCAGACACATGGCTACAGCCATGGAGAGTGGGCACATTTTTTTCTGCTGGGAGCAGGGGATGGGGGGACTGGCATCAGACCCCCGATGGGCTGATGGGTGTAGCCCATAGTCAGTCCCAGCTGGATGTGTGAGGCTATTTTTCCCCCTTTGAAGTGTGGAAAGAATGGGGGGGGGGGGGGGGAGTCATCATTGTTCCAGTTCCTTCTGGATAGTTCCTTACTTTCCATATTTCTCCCCCTTGTATACACCATACTCCCCATCCTGGAAAACTATAAATGGGACATTAGGGGATAAATGTATATAGACATTTGAGAGAAGTGGTGAGCTGCAAAGGGCACAGAGCAGGGTAAATATTCTGCTTGAAGTCAAAAAAGCAAGGCCCTGACCAGGCATGGCCTGCTTGTGGTCCCCAAGCCTGGCTCTGGCCTGAGCTCATGGTACCCTGGTGCTAATAGGTGCCTCAGAGGGGGCCACCTGGACATGTACACTGTTGTTATTTTAGGAGCCCCCCCCCCAAAAAAAAAACCCCTTCCAAGTACCTTCTCCAGAAGCAATTTTTATCTCTGACACTGTCTTCCTGCAAGTGGGTCACTGAGTGCAGCATCAGGAAATGAGGCTGATTTAAGGCCAAAATAGAACCAAGTGGGTGTGGAGGAGTAGATGGGGACGGACGGTGGAGTGAGGTTGGTAGAAATGCCCCGTCAGCTGCAGTTACTCAATAGAAGCTAACATTGTTAGAATGAAGTTCTTAAACTGAGTTTGCGAAATGTGTTCCTTGGGACCCCTGTAGCCTCTACTTCCTCCTTTGCTTTCTGGTTGTTCTGCCCAGTCCTCCTTTAGCCCCTGGGAGGCACTGAGCCAAGGGGTCTACCCAAGTCTTCTCACTTCAGGTGGGGTCACAGAGTATGTTTTCCGTCCAGACATGGATGGAATTCTTAACCCCAGGAAAGTCGAAAACTTAACAGGGTACTTTTCTCCTGCAGCTGCTTTCTCCTCCAAGCCACAGCCTCTGGTGACACCCAGCAAGGAGGAGCGTGGGAAAAAAAAGAAGAAAGGCAAGGGGTTAGGGAGGAAGAGAGACCCATGTCTTCGGAAATACAAGGACTTCTGCATCCACGGAGAGTGCAAATACGTGAAGGAGCTCCGGGCTCCATCCTGCATGTAAGTGTCCCTTTCCGGGCTGACTCTCCTCAGCACACTCTTTGTCAGTCACGTGGCTGTTCCTCGTTGTCACTGTTCCTTGAATTCATAATTCTACTCAGTTTCTTCTCAATCTTTAGGCGGAAGTTGGGAGGAGGGGAAATATTTTTAGTCAGCGGAAGGGGCTCTCCCCCGCATAGGATGTAATTTCCTGTGGTGTAGGTTTGTGACGCTCTTTCATCCTTGGGGACATTTCCTGCTTGCTCAGACACGAGCGTGTGGCTAGGAGAGCTTATACCTGCAGGCAGGTCCTTCATTCCTACCTTATGCCCTACTCCAGATGGGAGAAGCCAGTAGGACACATGGCAGAGTAGGCTTCCTGAGGGGGAGTGGAGCTCCTGTGGCCTCCTTTCCCAAGCCCTGCAGGCAGTTATGAGGTGCAGTCAGACTCACACTGTGCAGATGTGTGTGCTTGGACATATGTCCACTCATATGAGTGAGCACGTATGGATTGATTTGAAGGAACGGCGGGACTCTACAGGAAGTGATCATCATGAGAGCAGGGAGAAGCCCCTCCTCTCTTCTTCCTCATCCCAGCAAGGGCCAGGAGGTGGGGGACATGGTAGGTGTTGGCCTTTGGCCATGGGAGTGGGAGAACACTTCCTTTGTGCCAGATTAACAGGAAATGGAACCCAACCCAGTAGGCATCAGCCCCCGGTCAGGCAGCACCACCCCTTCCCTGGGTGGAAGGGCCATGGGTTCCGCAGCTATTCTGCTAGGCCAAACCCAGCAAACGGCAGCCTTGGCGACCCCTCGGGGGTGACGGCACAGCCATGCTTTCTGGCAGACATAATGTCGCCACTGTGCCTGAGGCCAACACCCACATCAGACTACAAACATCCACTCTTCCTCTGGACACAAGGTCCCTACAAAGGACAGTCTTTGTGACCTGGGAGACTGTGGACAGGGCCAGGAGATGATTAGGTGCACACCATGTCTCAACCTGTCAAAAAGGCTGACTGCCTGGCATCTCTTCTGTTGTGACTGGTAAAGATCCCTTGTTTTTTTAAAGTTTCCTTGTCCTGTCTGATCTTACATAGCAAAGCTGCCCTATATTTGGCATTTGGCAAGACATCACTCTACCCTGTCCATGATCACTTGTGTGTCCTCTCCTATAACGCCCTTGTCAGGAGCTTGGTATTGGAGGGAGTTGCTTTAGAGTAACATAGACAGTCCTTATAGGGTGTTGGGATAGGGTAGGGAATATTTGTCTTAAATTTGTAAAATGCTGTCATTAGCACAGGGTGGAGGCAGTGACTCTGAGGGTAGTCAAGATGGATTGAGGCCAGGAATCTGTCTGGGCCAAAATGATCCAGAGCTTTGGTGGGTGGTCTTCTACTGCTCAGCTGAGAACCTTTGTAAGGCTGCTGTCCTAGAGGGCTGGGCATGACCCACCAGCTAAGGCCAGTAGATAAGGGTGCCCAGAGCCAAGGTGGCCCTAGGGATAGTGATGATATTCATGATGATGCCTTCTCTCCTTTGCCCCGTAACTTCACTATTAACATTTAATATGAGCTGAGCCCTGCAGGTATGTGTTGAGTGCCTACTTGGTGCCAACTATTCTAGGGGATAGGGAATTACAGTCATGTCCTAGGATTCTCAAAAGCCCTAGGGAAGTTGGCAAGGGCTTGCTATCTCTAGTTGAAAGGTAAGGAAACTAGAGCCAGGAAGTAGGAAGTGATTTGCCTGAGATCAACAGCTAAATAAGTGGATGGAAACAGGACAGGGATTCAGGTGCCTGACTTCCAGTCCAGCGTGCTTTTCATGCCCCCAGGCTGTATTGGATGTTGGCCTGTGTCCTTCTTCCCTATCTGTCCTTACAGAGTTTGAATAGGATTTTATAGAGGGCAGCTGTTATGTTAGAGGTATCTTAAGGCTTTTACTAGCCTAAGGGCATGCCAACCTGATTTGAAGACCTTGTCTCTGCTTCCTAAGCAGATTTTCAAGGGGCTGGATTCAGTGTCTGATTTGGCTGCCCCCCTCACTCCGGCCTTTGGTACTCTGGGCAGAATGCAGCAAGAAGACACATAGTTCCTGGTTTGGGCAAATGTGATATCTGGTCACCTACCTTTGGGGCCCTTTGTTGCTCCTCCTTCCCTCTAGACCCAGGAACCACCAGCTAGGGTGTGTTCAGGCTGCCCTTGTGAGCTTGAGGCTAGCTGGCTTCCTAAGCCGGTCCTCCACAGCCACAATTCACAGCAAAGCCCTTTTGTGTCACCAGCCAAACGCTGCCCTCAAAGAGCAGTTTCCTGGGGCTCCTAACTAGCTGCTGACCCAGCAGCTGGCTGTGAAATTTCCTGTGGCTGGAGGAAACCTTGGGGCAGTCAGGCTGAGGAGAACTCAGTTGGAAGAGAAATGGGTCTGGAGCCTCCCCTTGGCCTCATTGGCCAGATCCTGAAAAGGGATGGTGAGCCCCCTTCTCTTTGGCTCCATCTGACTTTGGCCGCCCATACCTCAGGGCAGTACCCTCTGGCATCTAATAATACAATAAGTCACAGTTTGGTGAGACTTGGTCTTTTGCTAAGTGATTTTACCTGTATATTCTCATTTGATCTCAAAATACGCTAGCGAGGCGGGTGTTTATTATTCTTGTGTTTCACATGAGGAAACCGAAGCTTACAAAGGTAAAAGTAACTTGTTCAAGATCACTTGGCTAGAAATAGCAGTGGGACTGATCTGGAACTCATGTATTCTGACATCCAAACTGGAGAAACCCAGTTTGGAAGATGTCTTTAGACCCTAGAGGGTTTTAACTTCTATTGTAACACAAATTCTGAAATGGGTCACCAACATTGGTAGGAGGAACATGTTCCAGTTTGGTGGGTTGCTGGCTCTGGGTAAGACACATGATCTTGCCCCCACCCAGGATGCTTGGAACGTTCTCATCCCCCCTCCTTCCCAGGGGAAGCCAGGAGTCATCTGCAAAGGGAGGGGGAGGTGGGTAATATTAGGATGTTTACATTATTATCCTTTTGACTCAGGGTGGGGGTGGAGGGATTATGTAACTGAATTGCGGGACTCTGAGGCCAAGCTTTATTTCTATCATCTGAGTAACTACCTGTGGGGTTTGAGTGATGGCTGAAAGTGAAAAACAGACTGAGCTTCGGCTTCCCTTCCCCCGAGGGAGCACAGTCTCTGAAGTCATCTAGACTGCTGGGTTGAATCCTGGCTTTACACTCACTAGCTGTGTAACCTTGGGCAAATTAGCTAAACAACTTAAGCCTCAGTCTCTCCATCTTTAAAATGGGGGTAGTAACTCCTACTTCAGAGAGATGTTTTTAAGATTAAATGAAATGATTCTTTTTTTTTAAGTTTATTTATTTATTTTGAGAGAAAGAGAGAGAGAGAGGCAGAGAGAGGAGAGAGAGAATCCCAAGCATGCTCTGCACTGTCAGCTTGGAGCCCGACATGGGGCTCAAACCTATGAACCATGAGCCTAAGTTAAGTGTCAGATGCTTAATTGACTGAGCCACCCAGGAGCCCCTGAAATGATTCTTATAAAGCAATTAGCACAGAGTACTTGGCTCACATAAGCCTTTAATGTTTGGTATTTATTATTCAAGTTAATAATAATAATAGTAAAATAGTAAGTCAAAGAGCAGGGTCAGACTGCCCCAGGAACCCATCACCTCATCAGATATGTGTTTCCTTGGGGTAGCCTGCATTGTTCAGAGTAGAAAGAATCATGAATTGGAATCTGCTATGACTACTTTCTAGTCTTAGCCTTGTTGCTTTTTAGTTGTGTTACTTTTGGCAAATCACAATCCCTCTGACCCTTAATCTTACTCTTTCAATCTGTAAAATGGGTCTGTACCTGTCTACCAGATGTTGAGTCTCAGCTGAGCTAGCAGGTAAGGCTGGTGTCTTATCAACTGTAAACTGTTATGCAGATGTGATTTCCTAAGGGCACTCCTAAGAGTGTCTTCCATAAGAGCAGGGGGAGGGTTATTGTTTTGCCCACCTTGGCTGATAGAACAGATTAGATTCATGGAGAGGCTGGGTAAAGAGCTGTGTGCCCTGCTATGTGTATATGGGCCTGACCCACATTTTGTCCTTCAGTGAGGTGGTTCCCCAAAACACCCAGGAGGATCCAGGGCAGGGAGAGGTGCTTGGCACCCCACAAGCACAGCCTGGCCTGTCTGTTGCTGCCAGGTCTGGAGAGATCTGTTTCCCAGGTGCCTCTCGGCAGAAGGAAGGAATTCCTTGCTCTGAGGCACCATATGCATAATGTACTTCCCAGAGGAGGTGCAGCTCAGGATAGAGGCCCACCAGGTTCTCAGTGCTTCCTTCAGCAAGCTAGTGGCCTAAAGTCCCCAGGCAGACAGTGCCAGTGCAGTTGTGGGTGCAATTGGGGAGCAAACTGAGCTCAGAGTCAGACAAACGAAGACCACACCTCTGCTCTGCTGAGTGACCACTGGGAAGATAGCTCGGCCTTTCTCTCTAGCACGGGGCTTCCATCTACATCAAAGGGCCTCTCGGGTGCTCAGATAAAGAAAGGAACATGAATGTGCTTGTTCAACTGAACGCACTTCTGAGTCTTCCTAAGAGCTTCCAGGAAGTGCTTTATGTTGGAAGAGGTGGCTGTCATCTGATTTATTTCTCGAGTGTGAAAAGCCAGGGGGTTGTTTCTGACATTCCTCCACACTCTGGCAAGACAGCTGGGCAAGAAGTTACCTTGGTTTGTTTGCTTTGTCCTGTGATGAAGGAGGCCAGATAGCCCAGGGTTCAGAGGCCAAAAGTTGATGTTAAGCTCTCAAGTTGGGCTCTGCACCCAGGGGGAGCTGGGAGTTAAATGGAGGGAACTTGAGAAAAATGACTCCTGGCAAATGAACAGGACCTATTAATAGGCTGGGCCGTGGCTGAGAGGGACTGAGTGCTGGAAGCAGTGGTGGAGAAGCCTGGGTTTATTTCTAGGTCAGAGTTGAGGGGCCTCACTAGAGGGAGTGATACTCAGTCCCCTCAGCTCAACCCACCAGCTCATGGGCCTAAGTCTTCTGAAGGCCTTAAACAAAACCTCTTAACACACATGTAATAAATCATCCACACATGGAACGTATCTAGCTAAGACCTTCAAGTCCTCCCTCACTTTTTCCCTGCCTGGAGTGGGAATCTCCAGCCAGACAGCCAGAGGAAATGGAGTAGGGGGTGAGGAATTGGGAAGGAAGGCCACAGAACCTTCAGAAGGGCTCCTCAAAAGTCTTCTACTGAATTCCTACTAGAAGGATAGAGGAAGGGCAGGAATCGGGATAGGAATCGGGTCAGGGGTTGATAGACTGAGGCTGTGAGGACTGGGGTTTGGCTTAGGTAGATGGGCCATTGCCTATAGAGAGAGGCCAAACCACTAACCTCCTCTCTGCTTTGTTCTGTCTTAAACCAGCTGCCACCCAGGTTACCACGGAGAGAGGTGCCATGGGCTGAGCCTCCCGGTGGAAAACCGCTTATATACTTATGACCATACGACCGTCCTGGCTGTGGTGGCTGTGGTGCTGTCGTCTGTCTGTCTGCTTGTCATCGTGGGGCTTCTCATGTTTCGGTGAGTATTGGGCCCCTGCAGGCTGTTTCTGCGTATCACTTCCATCCCTCCTCCTGGGTCTTCTGCCTGTGATCACATGAGCCCTCCAACCTCCCAAACTCGGTGCTAGGCATTTGACCGACATTCTGGAGTACAGGTTCTCTGGGAACCTGGCTTCTCTGGCATGACATGAATCCGGTGTCCAGAGCACAGGGCAAAAATTGTGAGGCCATAGCAGCTCCTGCTTCTCATAGCAGGCACAGTAACCCATCCATGGATCCACCTCTTCACACAGTTCTTTCTCTTTGCCCTGTTCTTTGGTGGCATTAGTATGTGGTTTGATAGAGCATGGGTGGTATGTGGTTATTGGTATAGTCTTCTAATTCTGAGGCATCTTGACCCCAGGCCATGTTTCTAGTCCAGGTTATGTTCTAGACTGGGGGAAACCTGCCAAGCACTCTGTGCCTGTTTTCAAGCAGTGTAAATTATCTGTCGTGAGACCTGGACCAAGTTGCCTGTCTTTCTGAGGGTTATAATCTTACAGTGATTGTAATCTCTGTCTACCTACCTCATCAGGATGTTGTGATGAGGATCCTGTAAATGAGGTGAAAGTTCTCAGCAAATTATAGCTTTTGCTGTTAGAGACAGGCATTCCCTGGGGCAAGTTGGGCGTTTGACCAGAGGTCTGTTGGGCTGCCATACCCTCTTGGCTTTTCCAAGTAACGGACAGAACCACCATGGCAGTGTTCTTTAGAAGGACCTTCTCTGGACCCACACCCTATCAAAGCAGGCAAATCTTGCTCACAAAACTTGTCTCCTTCAGGTACCATAGGAGAGGTGGTTATGATGTGGAAAATGAAGAGAAAGTGAAGTTGGGCATGACTACTTCCCACTGAGAGAGACCTGTGCTCAAGGTAATGGTCCATCCTTTGCCCCCTGGCACCATCACCACCTTTCCTAGATCTGTTTCAAGGCATGCTGAATTCTTTTTTTTTTTTTAATTTTTTTTAATGTTTATTTATTTTTGAGACAGAGAGAGACAGAGCATGAATGGGGGAGGGGCAGAGAGAGAGGGAGACACAGAATCGGAAGCAGGCTCCAGGTTCTGAGCCATCAGCCCACAGCCTGACACGGGGCTCGAACTCATGAACCGCGAGATCGTGACCTGAGCTGAAGTCAGACGCTCAACCGACTGAGCCACCCAGGCGCCCCAAGGCATGCTGAATTCTTCTCTTGACCCATGGGTTGGAGGATAGGCTACTGTGGAGTTAGGGTCTCCTTGCAGAATGGTTTTCAAAAAGGTTTTTGGTAGGGGCACCTGGGTGGCTCAGTTGGTTAAGCATCTGACTCTTGATTTTGGCTCAAGTCATGATCTTGCAGTAAGTGAGATCAAGTCCCGAGTTGAGCTCTGCTCTGTCAGCATGGAGCCTGCTTGGATTTCTCTCTCTCTCTCTCTCTCTCTCTCTCTCTCTCTCTCTCTCTCTCCCCCCCCCTGTCTCTTTGCCCTTCCCCTGTTCACATGTACTCTTTTTCCCTCTCAAAATAAATAAATAAACAACAAAAAAGTTTATTTATTTATTTTGGGGTGGGGGAGAGTGCACAAGTGGGGAGGGCAGAGATAGAGGGAGAGATAGAGAGAATCCCAAGCAGGCCCCACACTGCCATTGTGGAGCCCAATGCAGGGCTCGTACCGACAAACCACGAGATCATGACCTGAGCTGAAGTCAGACGCTTAACCAAGTAAACCACACAGCTGCCCCCGGCCAAAAAGGTTTTCAGTGGGTCATCTCCACTTGGGGTGACAGTTGCCACAGAAATATCCAAGAGAGATACCTGAGACAATAGCATCTTCCATCTTTGTCCCTTCTTCTGCCCCTTCACAGATGATCTTCCTACTTCCTGAGACTGGACCTAGGAAACTCTTAAGACCTATTAACTGGATCCAGCATTAAATGCCTTCCTCTTATGCTTTAGGAATCTTCTGGGGACTGCTACCTCTGAGAAGACACAGCTGATCGTAGACTCTGCAGAGGGAAAGAACGTCACAGCTAGTCAGGAAGATTCCTTCGTCCCCAGTTGCTATCTAGATTGGGCCTCCCATAATTGCTTTGCCAAAATACCAGAGCCTTCAAGTGCCAAGCTGAATGTGTCAAAATGGGATCTTGATCAGAAGAAAGCAAAAGTGAGAGACCTTCATGCCCTTCGGATTCTCTCCACCAAACCCCACTTATTCCCATAAGTTTGTTTAAACACTTAACTTCTGGATTAAGATGCCAGTTAAATTCCATATGCTCCAGGATCTTTGACTGATAAAAAAAGAAGGAGAGGAAGAAGGAAAGATTTGTGGATTGGAAGAGAGTAATAAAGATTGAGAAGCCATGTACTCAAGTAGCCACCAAGGGATCTGCCATTTGGACCCTCTAGCGCTGGATTTGATGAGCTAACTGTGAAATACCACAAGCCTGAGAACTCTGAATTTTGGGACTTCTACCCAGATGGAAAAATAACAACTATTTTTTGTTTGTTTGTTTGTAAGATGCCTCTTAAATTATATATTTATTTTATTCTATGTATGTTAATTTATTTAGTTTTTAACAATCTAACAATAATATTTCAAGTGCCTAGCCTGTTACTTTGGCAATTTCCTGGCCCTCCACCTTATATGCCCCACCATCTGGCTCAGCATCGCACCCCTCTGCCACAAATCTGAGATGGTTCTGTGACCCATCTGTAGTCATCTATTATCTGTCCACGTTTCCGAAGACCTTCCGCAATCACAGTGCCAAAGGGGGAGGTCTGTAGGTCAGGATATAGGAGTTAACTTTGTCAGATCCACTCTATGAGTTGGACTGCAGTCTTGCCTAGGCGATTTTGTCTACTGTTTGTGTTTTGAAAGCCCAAGGTGCTGATGTCAAAGTGTAACAGATACCGGTGTTTCCCTATGTCCTTTCCCTGCCAAATCTCAGAAGAGGTTGGGCTTCTAGCCTACAGCTTTCCTGGCTCCTCACCCCCCCTGGCCCCAGGCCCGCAGAGTGGGCACTCCCTCTTCCCTGTGTCAAGACATTTCTCTTACTCCTGCCATTCTTCTGGTGCTACTCCATGCAGCGGTCAGTGCAGCAGGGGATGATCTAGAGAAGGTATTAGCAAAGAAAAAGGCTGAGGAGGAACAGGAAACATTGGAGCTGTTGTTGTTAATTGATAACCTACCAATTGCTACAGAGTTTGGAGGTGAGGAGGGTTTTTGTGTAAACCCACCCACCTCACCTAAACTAAAAAGGCATGCTGTCATGGCCCCTTCTGGAAGTTTCTGGTGCCATTTCTGAACTGTTACAACTTGTATTTCCAAACCTGGTTCATATTTATATTTTGCAATTCAAATAAAGATAACCCTTACTCCATAGATTTCTGTCTTCTTGTTTTAACTGGGAACTGGTCTAACAGATATTTCCTAAGCCCTGACTCAACATTAGGCTCTATGCCAGGCCTTTTTATGTACACTATCTCAGTATCCCTGACAACATTGTGATGGAGGTACTATCATTGTCCCATTTTTCCAAAAGAGAAAACTGAAGCTCTTGGTCAGAAGAAAGCAAAAGTGGGAGCTCAGAGAAGTTATATAACTCGCCTGAAGATACACAGTTGGTAAGTGACAGAGCTGGGACTGGCAGTCTGACTCCAATTATTTGTCTTAATGCTTATATTTACTACCTCCGAGACAACAGAGAATAAACCTTTCACATAGAAAGTTTGGCTGGCTGTAACCAGGAAAGACGTCCACCCATTCAGCCAACAGACTCTGGACTCAGAGCCTTGTCCTATGGTGTATATGCAAAGAGGCCTTGCCCCTGGTGGAAACAAGGTACCTTTGACTTCGTCTCATGCTGTACAGCCATCTATCAGCAAACCTTTATCTATCACTCCTACCTTTAGAACATATGCTGAATGCAGCCACTTCTCATCACTGCTCCTACCATCACCCTGGTCCAATTCACCATCATCTCTTGCTTGAAATCTTGCAATGGCCTCCTGTGTCCTTTCTTCCTCCTGCTCCCATATAGCCCTTTCCAACATAAAAGCCAGAGTGATCATGTAAAACATAATCTAGATCTCGTCTGCATTGCAGGCTTTCCCTGATGGACTATGAGACAATAGCACATCCCTTGGCCACGCTGCTCTTCTTATTCTTACATTGCTTTCTTTTCCACCAGAGCCCTTATCACCACTAACATATTCTTATTTGTTTATTGTCTATCTCTTCCTGCTACAATACTAGCTTCATGAAGGTAGGGGTGTGTACGTTGCTCTGATCCCAGATTCTAAAACAATGCAATTGAGTTGTCGGCATTCAATATCTGTCACTTGGATGAGTGAATAGAAGAAATGACTAAAATCCCAGTCAAAGGCCAGCAAGTGCACAGGTGTGTGATCCAATGCTGGCCTGGAAGTGTGGTTGGGCCTCTGTCGGGGAGGGTGGATGGGGATGACAGGATAAAAGTGGAATTTGGAGCAGGTCATCTTGCCATGATGTCCTAGGTAGACTGGAGGCAGAGGGATCCATGGGAAGGTCATTAGACAAGCACCGCCGGACTGCCCTTTCCTCATTCTCTTCTCTTAGAGAGTTGTGGTACTCTAAAATTTCTCCAGGAGCCCACACAGAGATCTTGCTTTTAAAACTTTGTGCGGTAGCAACTACCAGAGCTGAACCTATGTACATCCTACAACCCAGCAATTCCACTCCTAGGGGTATACAAAAGAGAAATGAATACATGTATGTACCAAAAAACGTATATAGGAGTGATCTTAGCTTTACTTACAATAATTAAAAACTGGAAATTACCCTCAAACCCATCAATATTTGACAATGATGAATAAATAAATTGTCATGTATCTATGCAATGAACTACTAAATAGCAATATCATTGAATCTTACAACATAACACTGAGTGAAGAAAGCCAGACACAAAATAGTATATTCTTAGTGATCGTATTTGTTTAAAATTTTAAAATAGGTAAAACTAATCTATGGTGAAACAAATCAGGAAAGAGATTCCTGTTGGGCTCTGTAGTGACAGGAAGGGGGCAAGACAGGGCAACTTCTGGAGCTCTGATTAACGTTATGTTCCACAATCTGGGTGCTGGCTACTGGGAGTATTCACGATGAGAAAAATTCATCGAATATGGCTTGTGCCTTTCTTCTCTATATGTATTAAACTGCAATAAAAAGATTTTTCAAAATTTGGGTAGGGGACTCTTTTGCTATTTGCATCATATAAAGCTCCATAACGTACCAGTATATTAATTTGGTAATCAGAGACAATAGTACAGATATCAGAAAAAACTGTGGAGCAGTGACTTACTTTGAACTCTTCACGGGGCTCTCTCTCCTGCTCCAGTTTTCAAGCCTCCAGCCCTTAATCCAGGCTTGGCTTTTCAAACCCATTTTGTTTCTCCAGCTCATGTTTCCTGCGGCCTCGAGGCTTCCTGCCTTTCAGGGGCTCTCTCCTGCCTCTGCTGCGGCTGCTGGGAACTCCTTTACCTTCTGCGGAGCCTTCCTGGGCCTCTGTTTGGTTGATATCAGGCCCTGGGAGCCTCTGAACTTGCAGTTCGTTCTCCAAATTGGCTAGCAGAAGTTATCTGGCCCCCCTGTGCTCTGAAAAACATCCGCCTCTTCTCTTATGGTCCTCCCTTTTGGCCGCCTTTGCAATACTTTTTTTTATAGCGTTCATCACAATCATGATTAGGCTAATAAATATTTGATGGTCATGGAGTGCTCACTGAGCACAGCCCACTGGGCCACACACTGCACAGGCTTTGTCTCAGGTGCATCTCATCACAACCTAGGATGAAGGTGCCCTGACTACCCATGTTGTTGATGCCTAAGAAGTTTAACTCAGAACTTTAACTTCCAAGCCTTCACTCTAACCACTAAATTACGTTCCCGAATGAGTTCTTAGGGCCAGCCTTGTTTTCTCTTCTTCCCATATTCATCCTGAAATAACACTATAGTGAGGACATCATATGAAAGGGATCTTAGAAAGCAACTCCTCAGATCCCAAGAGTTTCCTTCCCTGCCCCCAGTTTACACGTTCACAGGAGATGTGGGGTGCCTCATCAGGGGACAGGGGGAGGAACAGGAGAGCAGGCTGACACAAACTTGGGTCTGAGTCCTGTCCCCGGTGTTTATTAGGGAGTGCCCTCATGCATGACACCTGACTTCTCTGAACCTGTTTCCCTGTCTATAAAAGAGATACTAGGTACACCCACCTCAAGGAATTGCAAAAATGTTATGTGTGAACAAAGCCAGGGCCAGGCACATACTAGATATTCACTAAATGTTGGTAATCATTAGCTACTTGTCCAAGGAACTGATTAGTGGCACATGGGGGATTGAAACCCAGTCTTCTGATTCCTAATCCACAATTTTTTCCTTAGATGCAAACAGTGCTTCTCAACCACTGTTTTACATTTTAATGTCAACTTTGGTTTCAAAGGAGCATTAAAGGGTCTTAATAAATTTTTGTGGGTTTAAGAAGCCATGGAACAGCAAGCATCTCTATCCAAATATATCACTCAACTTGGCTGGCCTGAAATTCTTCCCTTTGTCAACAATGCCTGAAATTCAAGCTTCCTGCTTAAGAATGCTAATACTTCTGGGAATAGCTAAGCATCCAGAGGCTGGCATTCTTTGTTGATGTAATTCATTTTAGCTTCATTCATTCAGCAAATATTTGTGGAGGCCTCCCTATCACCTTCCAAATGAAATCTGAAATGAAATCTCTGAAGAAGAGTACATTTTGATGGGATGAGGGTGAGGGAAGAAAAGAAGGAGAAATACTTCTAGAGAAAAGGCACTCATTCATTCATACAAAATGTTGAGTGGGCACTTATAACGTGCCAAGTGCTATTCTTGTCACCGGAGAACAGTGGACAAGACTGATACATGGACCAACAATATATGTATAAATAAAGAAATAGAATAACTTCAAAAATAAGTCACACACACACACATAAGAATGATATGCTGAAGAGTCACTGGGAATTAATTTATATAGGCAGCTCAAGGAAGATCAATCTGAGGAAGTAATATCTGGACTGGGACAAGATCAGATGAGGCATAAGTGAAAGTCTTGAGACAATAATAAACATAGTTTGTATGATGGACAGAAAAAGACCCCCAGGGTGCAGCATAGTTATTGAAGGTTGAAGAGGGAGGCAAGGATCAGATCATGTAAGGCCTTGTAGACCATGGTGAACCATTTGGAAGCCAATGGAGTGTTTGGAGTGGGAGAGTGATATGATTTGACTTATGCTTTACAAATATGACTCTGCTATATACAGAAGAGGTTCTAGGGGACAAAAGTGGAAGGAGTAAGACCAGTTGGGAGACCTATGCATTCATCCAGCATGCAAGACATGCTGGTGGCCAGAATTATGGCAGTAGCAGAGGCAGTGGTGAAAAATGATCCGGTTCAGGATATGTTTTGGAGGAATTACCTGTAAGATGTGCTGTTGGACTGAATGTGGTTGTTGCGGGTAAAGAGGAATCAAGGATGACTTCTTGGATTTTAATCTGAGAAACTGGGTAAATGATGGTTCTATTCATCAAGATGGGAAGGAATGAGGGAGGAGTTCACAGGGGCCATAGAAATAAAAAATTCTGGGGTACCTGGGTGGCTCAATTGGTTAAGGGTCTGACTCTTGGTTTCAGCTCAGATCATGATGTCATGGTTCGTGGGATTGAGCCTGGCATCAGGCTCTACACTGACAGCGTGGAGCCTGCTGGGGATTCCCTCACTCTCTCTGCCCTTCCCCTGCCTCTCTCTCTTTCAAAATAAATAAACTTTAAACAAAATTTTTAAAAAATGAAAATAGTTTTCTGGACATATTAAATCCATATGGGGCTAAAG